AAATTTGAGAAGTTTTGGCTTTTACTTCCTTGATACTTTTTCAGCCCTACCCCCTTTCTTTTCTAGTACTCTAATGAAAGGAATGTTAGATATTTTGTTATAGTCCTGCAATTCCCTGAGGCTTGGTTCATCTTTTAATCATTCTATTTTCTCCTGGTTATTCAGATTGAGTAATTTCTTTTATTCTATCTTCCAGTTCACTAATAATTTTCTCTGTCTCCTCCATTTTGCTATTAAGTACATTTGGTGGGCTTTTTATTTCAGCTATATTTTTAAGTTCTAAAATTTCCATTTTACATCTTGGTTCTTTCTTGAGTTTCTTACTTTTTTGCTGAGACTTTCTATTTCCTCCTGAATCTTACTTCTTTGATGAGACTTTCTGTCTCCTTCTGAAGCTTTCTGTTTTCATTTGTCTCAAGCATGTTTGTAGTTGCTCATTGAAACATTTTCATCATGGATGTTTTAATATCTTTGTCGGGTAATTTTGCCATCTCTCTCATCTCAAGGTTGGCACCTATTGATTGTTTCTTTAAAATTCAGTTTGAGTTCTCTTCTCAAACTGAATTGATCTTCTTCTCAGAATCAAGTTGTCCTCGGTTCTGAGTATATTGAGTGATTTTTAAAAATTGAAATCCAAACATTTAAGTATTGTGTTTGAAATTTTGGATCTTATTTAAAATTTTTGTTTTATTTGCCTTTCTCTGATGCCCCCCCAGCAAAGGAAGGGGAACACCACCTTACTGCCTGGTAGAGATAGAATCCAAGGTCCCCATTCAGCGTTATTGACATCAGAGGCCAGGGAGGATCCTCAAACTGCCAGGTGGGGACTGGACTTCTGGGTTCCTATGTACAGTTGAGTCTCAAAAACATGATGGTTTGGGGCACCAACCCCCCTGCACTTGAAAATTTTTATATAACTTTTGGATCCCTCAAAACTTAACTACTGATAACCCACTGTTGACCAGAAGCCTTACTAATAACATAAACAGTCAATTAACACATATTTTGTATGTTATATGTATTATATAACATATTCTTACAATAAAGTAAGCTAGAGAAAAGTAAATGATATTAAGATAATCATAAGGAAGAGAAAATACATTTACAGTACCATACTTTGTACAGCAGTCATGTAAGTTTATGCAGTCATTTACAAAATGAATCATCTGTCTGAAATTGTAGGCAACTGCAGCTGCAGACTATCAAGAAATCAAGTTTTTTTCTTGTAAGGTCATGACTTTTCTCTGCTTCTTGGCGGCACTTCCAGCATCACTAGTGGAATTTTGTATGGATCCCATGGTATTATTCAAGATTTACACTATTGCACTAAACACAATGAAAAGTATGTGAGAACTGTGAGAGATCACTTTTTACCACAATGGGCAAATTACCGACAAGATGAACTGCTCATGTGGAGGTAATTAGCTTTGCATTTTAAGTAGATATTCACAAATTTGAGCTCACTGCAATAGCAACAGAAGGTGGCTACAAAATTATTACAGTAGCACAGTATGTACTATAGTTCATTTTATGCAGTTGTGATTTGATACTGCATCTTTAATTTTGCATCTCTCTGGACTTCAAGTGCCACCACATACAGTCTGTTTGTGTGTTTTGACACATTTAAAATTTTTTTAATAAATTTGTGTGTGTTTTATGGTAGTAAGTGATAAAACAGACTAGGATTTACATGCATTTTATACATTCATGACATATATTTTCTTAGTTTTATTGATATTTTTAGACTACATGGTGTGTTTGCAAGTTTTTTCAACTTGTTGCAAATCGCCAAAATTTTTTCCAATACATTTATTGAAAAAAAGTTCACATACAAGTGGACTCATACAGTCCAAACTTGTTCAAGGGACAATTGTAGTCTCCATTGACACTATAATTTATTTTTCTTTCTTTATGGTTAGGGTTTTTTATGTACTTTTAAAGATATTTCTGTCCACTTCTAATATAATAAAGTTATTCTCCTGTGTGTTCTTTTAAAACTTTACAGTTTCACCTTCACATTTAGATATCTGACCCATCTGGAATGAGTGTGTGTGTGTGTGTGTGTGTGTGTCATTATATATATGAAGAAACAATAGCTTTAGTATTTATGTTGAAAAGACCATTTCTTCCCCACTGAATTGCATTGCAACTTTGGAGAAAATCAAGTAATTACATACGTGTTTGTCCGTTTCTGGACATAATTCTACTTAGTCATCTTTTTTAAAAATTATCATACCAATAGACAATTTTCTCTTAATTATTGAGGGTTCACATAAGTCTTGAAATCTGGAAATGCAAGTCCTCCAACTATCCCCCATCTTTTTTTTTCAGGGTTATTTAGCTTATTGTAGGACTTTACATTTCCACAGAAATTGCAAAATAGATTCTCAAACTTCTATCACAACAAGTTGCTGGTAATTTGATTCAGATTTGGCGAGCTTATGACCAGGTTGAGAAAATTGATAATTTGACATATGGAATTTCTTAGATTTATAAATATAGCTCTCCATTTATTTAGGTCCTTCCTAATTCCTTTGATTAATGTTTTATAATTTTCATTTTAATGAAATTTCATATCCTTATTAAATTCATTCATTTGCTTATTTTATTGTAAATGGCATTTTTATTTTATTTTCCAATAGCTTTTAGCTAGACTCTAGAAATACAATTGAATTTTTTATTCAATGACTGTGCAATTCACCCACTAGTTCTAGTAGTTTCTTTATAGATTCTTTTAAATTTTCTACATTCATAATTATGTTACCTATGAAGAAATGGAATTTTACTTATCCCTTTCCAAACTTTATGCATTTTATTGACTTTTCCTGACTTGATGCCAGTTATTTCAGTGTGATAATAAATGGAGGTAGTGATAATGTATCTTGGTCCTAACCTCAGAGGGAAATTGTTCAGTATTTTACCATTAACTATAATGTTGGCCTTGGGTATTTTTATAGATACCTTTTATCAGATTAAGAACTCTTCACTACATTTCTAGATTGTTGAGAGTATTCATCATGGGATGGTATTGACCTTGTATCAAATTCTCTTGTGTGTGTACATTTTTATAAATTAAAAATTTTAATAATAAATGTGTGTATATTTTATGATAGTAAATGATAAGTTTAAAATAAGTTGAGCCCATTATTTTGGTTTTTCACCAAGCAAAAGAGGGAAAACTTTACCCACTATGATTTTAGAGATCACATAATCTTCTAAAATGTAAGACAATCTGCAAACACTCAATAGATTAGACAAATATATTTTTATTCTTTAGAGTTATGCAAAATACTTAATGGTTTCCAATATCATTAAAACAATCACCTATTAGTGGCCTTGGTTGTCTTCTAAAAAATAAAGGCAAGCAAACCAAAGCAAAAAAGAAAACTATGTTAATTACTTTTCTTCTGCCTTTGTTAATATAACAAGATGATATAGTCCTCCCTACTTTAAGTAATGTTTGTTTGTTTTTTATATTTTTGACAGTACCATCCTGTTAACTTACGTTTTTATGATCTGGCACAGAGTACGCTCATGGTGAATATTTTTTAAAGGAATAGAATATTATTACTATGACTTTTACTCCATATCTTTGTAGCTTGATTTTTCACACCTGTGCTGGGGAAATTTATTGTCTATCATTGAATTTTTGCAGACAAATCTGACCCTATGTTTACCCCATTGTAGTCTTTTGTTCAAAGCATATTCCAGAAGACTAAAAGAGTGTATATAGAATAATTCAAAGATTTGCTTGGCATAAGTTCTCTCAGTAAATTTTTCAATTATGACTCACCTATGCATTCATGAAGCAAGTAATTATTGAGTACTTATTCTGTGCCAATATCTCTTATAAACATTGAATAGTAAGGGCTTTTGAACCAGCTTTTAATTATGGGACGATGATTAGAAACAAAAGAAAAATTAAATCCAAGTCAGCAATTGAGAATCATAATGGTAATATTATTGAAATAACAAAGTAATTTTAAAAATAGTTAAAACCTTTCTTGGAGTGTTAGTGGACTGATAAAACAAAGATGAGCACAGAGGTATTACAACTAAGATATCCACCTTCAAATTGGATAAAAGAAGAGTTTGCTGGCTGACTTTTTGCCTGATTCTAGCTACACAGTTCATTCATTCAGTCAGTCACAAGAGGGGGCTGCTTCACCTTAAAACTTAAAGTTTCTTCCTTGGAGAGGGGATGCTAAGCTTATGTTTTCCACAAAAGTTCCACAGAAAACAGGAAAAAAAAAAGATACACTTTTATCCTCTTTAGACAAATCGTGCTTTATGACCTCTTACTGAGTGTGTTTATGGCTTTAGGAGTTCAGGGGCCCTTACACCGATGAACTAAGTCTTTTCAGAGCACCTCCCATAACACTGCTTTCTCCAAGTTTCACTTCTCTAATCATCTCTTGCCTCCCCTATCCCTTACACTTTTTCCTTCCTTTCCCTTAACTATTCTTACGACCACCACACCATCCTTGTTTGCTTTTCCTGGTCTCTTTGTTTTCTTGCCTCACTGTCCTTGGCACACACAGTAGCCATAAGCATTGGCATAGAAATTAGGAAATGAACATTAAGGCCATGCGTTTAAGGGGGAAGAGAGCCAGCACCTTTTATGTCATTAGTCACTATATCAAGAACAGATGCATGGAGAAATGTCTACCTAGACAACAGTCAATACTTGATTCCAGGGATCTCCATAGAAAACCCAAGTTTTGGATGATTCAGCTTTCAGTGTCAATGTTAATTTTTCTTTTCTCCCTGAGCATATCACTTCTTACTTTTGAACCTCACTACCATTTTCTAGAATGTAGATGGGAATTTTCAACTCCTTACAACACAAAGCTCGGTATAGGCCTCTGGGATTTCATGACACTTTCCACAAGCTCCATGAAGGAGAGGACAATTTCTTTGGTACATTGAGGAAGAAATGATGGAAGAAAAGGTCTGAATAGATACATCCTTATGATCGATTTTCCTCATTCAATGCCAGCCTCTTAGACTTTATACCTCATATATGATTTCAGTAGACACCCCCTGAGTTGAGGATGTCTGGTTGATAACCTCACTCTCTTCTCAGAAACATGACTAACCCGGGGGAGGAAGACACAGAAAAGCAACAGCTCTGTCATTGGCTGACAAGATCCTGACAACAACACAACGAGAGCTGTACTCCTCCTTGCTAGTCTTTACTAGTAGCTGTTACTTCTGTTCTCTGGAAATTCTTTAAACCTAGGATCAGACACAAAAACTGATTGGGTCCACAATCCTCATTTGTCCTTGAAGTATGAGGCTGGTGGCAAAAGTAACTGTGTTTCTGACCTTTGGTGAGTACTCTTGTGTCTACCTAGGGAGGGCTTTTGAGGACAAGGGACCCCAAAAGATATTTGCCCTCTCCTCTCCCTGTGCTTTATCCAGCATGCTAGGAATATAGTTGAGAATTGTTCTGCGCATCTGTCTAGGAAGTGCACACTTCTACCTGACAGACTAGATCATAACCATAATTCCAGAAGAACCATTGGTAGTATACAGTTGTAAGAAATCTATAGGTTTACTAAGTCAAGAGCCAATGGAATACAGCTTAGAGAGTCTCAGATTGTTGGCATGTATCTTTGGTCTTTATAATTAACACCAATGATATTTTTTGTGTTCTCCCAGGACATAAAAGTTTTGAAGTGTTAAGGGAGTGTTGTATCCTTGATCCACAGAGTTACATTGGCTTGAGAGTCAGGAGTTAATCTGATTTTCTTAACCCCATAGGGACTATAATTGATGCTAAGACCACTCAGCCCACCTCCATGGATTGTGCTGAAGGAAGAGCTGCAAACCTACCTTGTAATCACTCTACCATCGGTGGAAATGAGTACATACATTGGTATCGACAGATTCACTCTCAGGGGCCACAGTATGTCATTCATGGTCTAAAAAACAATGAGACCAATGAAATGGCCTCTCTGATCATTGCAGAAGACAGAAAGTCCAGCACCTTGATCCTGCCCCACGCTACGCTGAGCGACACTGCTGTGTACTATTGCATCGTGAGAGTCGCACATTGGGACAGATGGGGCTGCACCTGTGCAATATCTCCCTGGTGGCAAGGGAGGAGGAGGATAGCATTCATCTGGAACGAAATGTCGATAGGAGTCAAAAAGTAACAAGAAAATGGGAAAAGGAAGGGAATGAGAGAAGGAAGAAAAATAGGTAAAGTAAATAAGGGAGATAGGATGAAGGGTAAAAAGACAGGAATAAGAACTTTATTTGTTGATGTGGCTGAGAAAAATGAAGAGACTGTAAATTATAATTTGAGCATAGCAATAAAATGAAGAAGCTTAAGAATTTAGACGACTCCACTTCCTGTAAAAAAAATAAAGTTCATTTTAGTTTGTTAGTAAAAATGAACAGGTAAGGAAAATGAAAATAATTCTGCTTGTCCCAAAGGCTTTTTCAATCTGGATCTGGGGGCAAGTCCAAGCTTTGAAATGCATCCTATTATAGTTGTCCCAATTACCAAAAACAAGTTGATGTTTCTGAAAGAAAAATCTGAAATGTTCTTTGTTACTAGTGCAGTAACACTAGTTATTAGAGCATGCATATTTGTGATGAAGGTTTTTCCCTTTGGAAAGAAACAAAAATTAAATAAGTAATATTAACTTATTTTTATTTGTCTTGAAGTCTTGAATCTATAAATAGTTTTCATGATATTTCATTTTCTAAGTAGCACACAAATCCATCTCACCATAAAAGACTCAGAAAAAGCAAAAGTGAAAGACCTCACTGCATTTCCTCATTCATTCCTGTCTCACACCACTCTTCTCAAAGAACACTAGTTTTGACAGTTTAAGGTATATCATGATAGCCTGTTTAATTTCAGTTATATATCTTTGCATATAATTTTATGCAATCACACACAAACTTACATACATGCACACAGTTTGTCATGTAAATTGGATTTATTAGATTTTTTAACTTGCCATTTATTTTTCATTTAATAGTGTCCTAGAGATCTTTCTATATCAATAGAGAAGTTCACTTTGTTTTTGGTGCCTATTTAGTACTATGGGACACTCCATCATATAATTACTTTTTTATTTATGCATATTTGTTTCTATTGCCTCACTGTCATAAAGAATATTGTGTTCTACATCTTTATAGATTCACCTTAGTTTGTGTGTATGTGGAAGTGTTTATTTTAATGAGATTTCTGAAATTGAAATTGCTATGTCAAAGGGAAGGTGCATTTAAAATTTTTGGAGAAAGTGGCAATTTGCCCTCCAAATGATGTAACTACACTCCATATAATACATATATATGTATTATAATACACATAATCTACCCATTATAATTCTTATATAATTAATAAATATGATACATATGTTAAATTATAAAAATTGAGAATTACTAACAATTTTTATTTTTATTTTATTTTATTTTGTTATATATTTATCTTGAGTCAGGGTCTCACTCTGTCACCCAGGCTGGAGTGCAGTGGCTGGATCTCAGCTCACTGTAAACTTTTCCTCCCAGACTCAAGCAATCTTCCCACCTCAGCCTCCTGAGTAGCTGGGACTACAGGCACACACCACCACACCTAGCTATTTTTTGTAGAGACAGGGTCTCACCATGTTGCCCAGTCTGGTCTCAGACTCCTGAACTCAAGAGATCTGCCAGCCTTGACCTTCCAGAGTGCTGGGGTTACAGATGTGAGCCACTATGCCCAGCCCGTTTTTAACAGTCCGAAGATATTTTATCTTTAGTCATTTTCCCAATTTGTGCTGTTTTTGAGCAAATTTTTCTACATGTATTGGCACTTTTTCCTTTGGCCATATGCTTATTCCTACCTTTCGAGCATTTTTCTATTTAGTTATTTTCCTTTCTCTTTTTATTCATAAGAATTATTTTCATATCTTAAATAATACATTACTTTTATATTTATTTAAATATTTTAACACTACCTTTTTAGTTGCTTATTTTTAATGTAGTTTTAAATTTTTACATAGTTTAATCTATCAAGTATTCCTTTCTTTTAAGCCTTGAAATGTCAGTATCTTTTTAGGAAACCCCTAAATATATTGCATATTTTAATCTCCATTGGTTAAATGAGGATTACTTTGAGATCTATGTTGCTGTGGCCTTGTAGTACAGTTTGAAGTTGGGGAGTGTGATGCCTCCAGCTTTGCTCCCCTTTATTTTCAACTTATTTCTCAGAAGCGTCTTATCTTTTATTTTCTTACCTATAATGCTTAAACTCTATGACTCTATTGCTTTCAATCTTTAGTCATTAACTTTATTATTCTCATGCCAATTCTGTGTCATAGCAGTGAGCCAATTAATTCCCAATCATGGATCCATATCTTCCTTATTGTAATGTGTATCTAGTGTGATCGGAGTACACAGGTGTGACAACTAGTGTCATTAAAACATATTGTTACTAGCCAGGAGTAGTGGCTCATGCCTGTAATCCCAGCATTTTGGGAGACCAAGGTGGGTGGATCACTTGAGGCCAGGAGTTCAAGACCAGCCTGGCCAACATAATGAAACCCTATCTCTACTAAAAATACCAAAAATTAGCCAGGCATGATGGCACACACCTATAATCCTAGCTACTCAGGAAGCTGAGGAAGGAGAATCACTTGAACCTGGGAGACAGAGGTTGCACTGAGCTGAGATTATGCCACTGCACTCCAGCCTGGGCAACAAAGTGTGACTCCGTCTCAAAACAAACAAACAAACAAAAACAAAACAAAACATGTTGCTACTTTCAACACTAACTAGGCCCATAATGTTTTCAGGAAAGGGTCCTTCTTCTCTGTAATCGCATCTCACTGTCATTTTCTACTGGGCTGTTTCAAAACATCTCACATACCTCAGACTTTCTAACCCAGATCTTCCTCCATTCGCTCTCTTGGGAGACATTTAATCTCTGTTTATAACAACAAAAAGGATTCCATTAGAAAGTAATAGAAGTTTCAAATTTCTGCCTTCACACTCCAAAGAATCACTTAAATCTAAACTACTCTAATCCTTTTCTCCTTCATGGAATACTATACAGCCATAAAAAACGATGAGTTCGTGTCCTTTGTAGGGACATGGATGAATCTGGAAACCGTCATTCTCAGAAAACTGACACAAGAACATAAAATCAAACACTCTATGTTCTCACTCATAGGCCACTGTTGAACAATGAGAACACATGGACAAAGGGAGGGGAGCATCACACACTGGAGTCTGTTGCGGGGGGATCTAGGGGAGGGACAGCAGGGAGTGAGAATTTGGGAGGGATGACATGGGGAGAAATGCTAGATATAGGTGATGGGGAGGAAGGCAGCAAACCACATTGCCATGTGTGTACCTACGCAACAATCTTGCATGTTCTTCACACGTATCCCAAAACCTAAAACGCAATAAGGAGTGAAAAACAGTGAAAATAACTGTTTTTCCTCCTACCAAAACTTTGTCCTTCTACCTGTAAATCCATATTCCAATCCCGTCTGTCTCCTCAGAACTTCAATCCATTGTTTATACATTCTTTTTAAAAGCATGTAAATATACTCCAATTTTTAGAAATGCTACCATTACCACTTCAGCATCCTCATCCAGTTAACACCATGCCTCTTTTCTCATCTTCAGATGATATAGCCATGTCTAGAAGGGTATTTCTACATTCTATTTTTCTCTTCCTTGTCTTATCACAATGCCTCCTCCCACTGCAGTTAACCTTTTGCTGAAAAGACCAAAATCATGATTTTTGTGCTGTTAAAAAAATTAATATTTCAATAGCACAGTATGGTGACTATAGTTATCAATAACATCACACATTTCAAAATAGCTAGAAGATTTGGAATGTTGTCAACACAAATAAATAATAAATGTTTCAAGTGACGGTTAACCCAATTACCATGATTTGATAATTACACATTGTAGGCAGGTATCAAAATGTCACATGCACTTTGTAAATACGTACAATTATTATGTATCAATAAAAAATCAATAGACATTGAAAAGTTATCATCTTACAGACATTTATTTACCACTCACTCTGTTAGCCATTCATTTCTTTTTGGAATTCCTTTTTCCTTCTCTTTAAGAAATCCAGCTATTTCTGATTTGCCACTTACCTCCCTGGATACCCCTTGAGGTTTCCTTTTCTTTTCTTTTTTTTTTTTCTGAGACAGTCTCACTCTGTCACCCAGGCTGGAGTGCAGTGGCACAATGTTGGCTCACTTCAACCTCTGCCTCCCAGATTCAAACGATTCTCATGTATCAGCCTCCCAAGTAGCTGCAACTACAGGCACAAGCCACCACGTCTGCCTAATTTTTTGTATTTTTAGTAGAGATAGGGTTTTGCCACATTGACCAGGCTGGTCTTGAACTCCTGACCTGAGGTGATCTGCCCACATCGGTCTCCCAAAGTGCTGGAATTACAGGCATGAACCACCTCGCCCGGCCTTGAGGTTTCTTTAGTATTTTTTCCACTATCTATCCCTTTAGTGTTTGGGTTCCTTGAGGATTTTTTTAAGTCCCTATTCTCTTCTAAATTTTGCTGTACGTATTCATCTTGTTAAAATTGCATTTAGTCTTATAGAGTAGTGCTACAGCACAGATAACACGGTGGGCAAGGAACTGAGTTTGGAGAGGAAAAGAAAATTGGATTTTAATCCTTGTGTGTCCTTGGGCAAATTATTTAACTTCATAAAGACTTGGTTTCCTGTCTGTTCAGTAAAGATAAGATCTATTCTAAAGGGCTATAGTGTAAAATGTGCAATAGTTATCAGTGGTCTATAATGTGTATTATTGAATCATATTTATGAGACAAACTCCAATTTTGTTGAGATAGGAGATCAGCAAGACTTGCTTTCTGAACACTGGTCACAAGACCCTGCTGAACAAAACAGGAGCTGATCAAAACAGGCTGCAACAAAGAGAGCAGCCAAAACCAGCTAAAACCAAGATTGAGATGTACCTACAATGGTAGGTACAATGTAGATGTACCTACAATCAGATGTACCTCTGATTGCCCCCACTGCTCATTATGCACTATTTATAACATATTTACATGCTAAAAGAAGCTCCCACCACCACCATGACAGTTAAAAAACGCCATGACAACTCCCAGAAGTTACCTTATATGGCTTAACAGGGGTGGCACCCTCAGTTCAGGGAATTCCCTACTTTTTTCCCAGGTAATTCATTAATTTATTTATTATTTAGCATATAATCAAACAAAAGCCATATATATAGCTAGCCAGCAATCCACAAGGGCTGTCACTGCTGCTGCTACTACTCTGCCTATGGAGCAACAACTTTCCTGTATTCTGTAGCTCCAATAACTTTGCCTTCACTTTGCTCTGTCAGATCATTCACTAATTCTTTCCTGTGTGAAGCTGAGAACTCTGCTGGGCTTAGCCCCAGTTTTGGGGATCACCTGCATCACTATCACTTACTATGATCTTGGACAAATTGCACCTTTTCTTCCATGCTTCAGTTTCCCCGTTTATAAAATGAAGATGATAATACTATTTACTTCATAGGATAAAATAATATTATTTACTTCATAAGATTAAAATAGCTTCCTTATAAGCAGACCTCTGGAAACACCCTCACCAGATTATACTGCTAAGAAATTCAAACCAAGGAAATGGAGCACAAACCCAGAAGACTCAGTGTGTTTCCATATTTGACCTCCAGAGGGCAATGTTTCATAGACCGGAAATGTCTCTACTAAGAAGAGTTCTGTGTCTCCTGAGGGGCTTTACCTCACAGCTCACTAAGGTGCACATTCTGAGTAGGATCAACACCAGAGTGGTTGTTGTCAAGAGAGCAGCTCTTACTAACGGTCTATAGGCCTTACCTAAACAGGAAACCCTTGAATCTTAGATTTTCCCCATTATAAGGACTCATTATCATCTGGCATATTCTGTCCCACTCAGGAGATCTTCTAGAATAGAGCTCTCAGCTTCTGCACTGCCTAGCCATGCTCTTAGTGGTCATTCTATTGACTGGAATGTTCTTCACACTGAGTAAGTATAACATTGTTTTCCCTGCTCCCGCCTCCATGCAAGGAACATTGTTCCAACCAGAATCTAAATAGACACTCTGTCTCATTGTACAGGTAGGGCTGTTCTGGTCTTACTAACAGAGTGTTGATGTTGCAGGAGGAACCAGAGCCCAGTCGGTGACCCAGCTTGATGGCCATATCACTGTCTCTGAAGGAGCCTCTCTGAAGTTGAGGTGCAACTATTCCTATAGCGGAACTCCTTATCTCTTCTGGTATGTCCAACACCCCAGCCAAAGCCTCCAGCTTCTCCTCAAGGACCTAACAGGGGCCACCCAGGTTAAAGGCATCAAAGGTTTTGAAGCTGAATTTAAGAAGAGTGAAACCTCCTTCCACCTGAGGAAGCCATCAGCCCATGTGAGCGACACAGCTGTGTACTTCTGTGCTGTGAGTGACACAGTGCCTGGGAGTGCAGGCAGAGCTGAACACAAACTTCCTGAGACATGAGGTTTTTAGCAATTCAAGGGCACAGCCTGACCTGTTTGTAGCAAGATCTCTCATTTGATGAAAGCGAGGAAGGTGGAAGAACAGAGCCATGGGGAGTGCTTGGCTCCTGAGAAGAAACAGAAACTTCAGCACATTCCTTCCTTTACTACTGGGTCACATCAGACGAGACCTACAAGAGTCAGACTTGTATGAGTATCCTCCTCTGCTTGGAAATACTGCATTCCTGAGGGTCAGGATTTTAAATTAGTGTGAGCAGTACAGGACTCCTGATCCTTCTCACTGCCACCATGTGCTTCTACTATCTTTTGTTTTTCAATTAACAGCATCTCATTCTTTCAGAATCTCTGGCCATAGCCTCAGAGTTATCTTTTACTCTTATTTTTTTTCTTTCATTATTCACATTGAATCCATCAAGAAATTCTGTTGGTCCTAACTAAAAGATTGACCCATAGTTTGACCACTGCTACCTCTTTGGTCAAGCCACCCTCATGCCAATGAATTACTGTGATAGCCTTCTAAATGGTTTCCCTGCTTGTCCTCCTACAGAACATTCTTAATACAGCAGCCAATGAGATCTTTCAAATACAGTTAGGTCACTCATCTGCTCAAATGCTTACAATAGCTTCCCATTTCTCTCAGAGTAACATCAAAGTACTTACAATGACCTGTAAGTATGCATGATTTGTCTCATTACATTTTTAAAACACCAACAGAAAAATAACTTTGGCAACCCTGAATTCTATACCAGTAAAAATATCACAAAGAAATTATAGTAAAATAAAGACATTCTCAAATGGAAAACTGAGAGAATTCATTGTGAGCAGACCTGCTATAAAAGAACTCCTAAAGGAATTTATTCAAGCTGAAGGGAAAGGATACCAGAGGAAAATTGGTAACTTCCAATATGAAGGAAGTACAACAGAAATAGTAAACATATGATAAGATACAATAAACTAGTGTTCATTACTCTTTTACAACCAGCTTTATTGAGGTATAATTTATATACAAAAATGATACATATTTAATATATGCAATTTGATGAGTCTGGACATATGCATACAACTGTGAAACCATCATCACAATCAAGGCAATAGACATATCTGTCACCTCTAAAAGTTTCCTGTGACTCTTTGTTTTTGTTGTTATTGCTGCTGTTGCTGTTGTTGTAAGAAAAACTAACATGAAATCTACCCTCAATAAATTTTTAAGTGCACAACACAGTATTGTTAACTATGGGTATGATGTTGTATAGCAGATCTTTAGAACTTGTTCTTACACAACTAAAACTTAAAAACCGTTGAACAACAACTCCCCATTTCCCTTTCCCTCCAGTTCCTGGAAACCATTATTTTGTTCTCTGCTTCTATGAATTTGCCTATTTTAGATACCTCATATAAGTCTAATCATGCATTATTTGTCCTTCTGTGACTGGCTTATTTCACCTAGCATAATCTCCTCCAAGTTCAATCATGTTGTTATGAATGGCAGGATATTCTTTTTTTCAAGGCTGAGTAATATTTAATTGGATGAATATACCACATTTTATTTATGTGTTTATCTGTCATTAAACTTTTGTTTCCATATCTTGCATATTGTAATACCACATGCAGAAGAATAAAATTAGACCCTATCTTATACCATACACAAAAACTTACTGAAAATGGATTAAAGACTTAAGCATGATACCTGAAAGTGTGAAACTATGAGAAGAACATGTAGAGGTAAAGCTTCATAATATTGGGCTTGAAAATGATTTCTTGGATATGACACCAAAAGCACAAAAAACAAAAGCAAAAACAGACAGATGATATTACATCAAACTAAAAAGCTTCTGCACAGCAAAGGAGCAATTTATGGAAAGGGAGAAATATTTGCACACTGTATATTGATAAGGGGCTAATATACAAAATATGTAAGGAACCCTAAAACTCAATAAGAAAAAAGAAAAAATTTTTAAATGGGCAAAAGACTCAAATAGACATTAATAGATATTTCTCCCAAGAAGACAGACAAATAGCCAACAGGTATATGAAAAGGTATTCAGTATCACTAATCATCAGGGAAATGCGAATCAAAACCACAATGAGATATCACCTCACAGATGTTAAAATGACCACTTTTTTTTTTTAAAAAAAGATAAGTATAGATAAGGGTGGGGCAAAATTGAAATCCCTGTACAGTGTCGTTGGGAATTTAAAATGGTGCAGCTGCCATAGAAAACATTATGGAGATTCTTCAAAAAATTTAAACTAGAACTACCATATAATCCAGCAATCCCACCTCTGGGTATATAGCCAAGAGAATAGAAATAAGGATCTCAAATAGATATCTGTACTTCCATGTTAATTTAAGCATTATTCACAATAATTTCTCTTCTTAATTTATTTAAAATGCATATGACTGTTGAAATAAATCGTTATAAAATTCCCTTTTGGGTTTTCAAAGTCTAAAGATGGAAGGCATCTGACAACTATAACATGAAGGAATTAGGGTAAAATAACCTATATATAATTTCTATATTTTCCATGAAGCCGTATAATAAATATAAACAGACTGTGAAAGATTAAGTAGTAAGCATAGTAGCAGCAGGCAATCCTAATAGAAACCACTAAACACATAATACACAAAGAAATAGTGGAAAATCAAATAGATACACTATAATAGAATAATAAGAAACAAAACAAAGGGCAGAAGTGAAAATTAATACTGAAATAATAGACTTAAATATAACCATATTAATAGTTAGATTAAGTGTAAATAGTCTAAACACAGATATTTAAAGGCAGAGATGGTCGGCATGCATTCTTTCTTTTAAACAACAACAAAAAAAGAAGACTCATTTACATACAAATTTACTTTAAATACAATGACAAAGATTAAAAGTAAAAGAATGGAAAAAGATATCCATGAAAATACTAATCAAAAGATTATTGTCTTGAAGGGTTATATTAAAATCAGACAAATGGGACTTAGAAAAAGAAATATTGCAGAAATAAAGTGAAATATTACATAATTATAAAAGGATTCTTCACTTAAAAAATGTTTTAAGTGTTTGTACCTACCAACAGAGCTTCAAAATATTTGAAGCTAAAATTGTTAGAACTAAAAGAAAAATAGACAAAACCACAATTACACTTGGAGACTTAAACCCTTTGTGTTCATTATACAATAGAATAAGTACTATAGTTAGAAAATCAGCAAAGATACAGCAGACCTGGCCAACACTATTGTACTGACATTTATGGAATACTCCACTAAACAACAGAAAGCACATAAAGTCATGCTTAGAAGAAAATTTTTAACAGTAAACATTTACATTAGAAAAAGAAAAAAGGCTCAAATCAATAATTTTATTTCCTCCTTGAGTGTGTCCCTAGGGATGATATCCTACATAGAAAAAAAATAATCCTAGCAATCCAAGGAACTCTGTTTTTGAGTTCAGGCAAATGAGTATTTTCTGCTGTTACTGCACCAGGTACCCAACTGGAAAAAGATATGCCTCATGTTTTATATTTCTCTTCTATGCTCAAAGATTAAAATGAGATTAATTTTATTTACATCACAGGTTACAGCTCTGGAGGAGGTTATAAGCCTTCATTATACTAATGATATCAGAAAGGTTACAAGATAACTTTAGTCTTTCATTTTTAAACAAGATGCCAGTTATGAAGATTGTCTGACACAAAATGAATTCTGTTATACACATGATGAATTATATAAGACATTATAAGGTACCTTACAACACATCTGCATATTTTCACACAAGGTGAGCTATCACTAATTATTAAATGTAACTACGTCACTATGTTTTTCCTTAACTTTTCAAGGAAGAAGCACAAGAATATTCAAGTCATTCAGTGAGTCAAGCCTAAGAACAAACAGGAGAGCTGGTAGAATAAAGAAGGACTCCAGCTAGGTTCTGGACTAGCTGGGACCAGCATATAGTAAGTCCATAAGTGCAGAATGGACTGGATGTGAGGAGTATATAACTCTTCTCCATGTCAGCGTGCCCACCTTTTTCTTTATTTCTTGCTGAATGCATCTCAGTATAACTATGTAACAACACACTGACATCCCATTTAACTGTCAGAAGCATTATAGGACATGACAGAAGAAACAATCAGCTTTTCTTGTCCTATTTGACCTTCGAGAGTATAAAAATCTGATTCTTTTCTGTGGGCAGGTATAGAGGGAGTATATGAGAATTCTGTGTACTTTCCGCTCAGTTTTTTTATAAACCTAAAACTGCTCTAAAATAGTCTATTAACTTTGAAAAATCAATTTTAATAGAGAAGTTAAAAAGAAAAATCAATCCAATGAGCTCCATCTCATAGAAAATACTTACTACAGCTGGTTCAGATTACTTCTTACTCTCTTGCTTTGGGTGCTGTCTTCAACTGTTTGTGTTGGTGCTTCTTTGGTTGTGTATTTACTGTGTGGCATGCTCTATGTAAAATTTTGCTTATATTATGTAATTTAATTATAATAACATAAAAGTAGAAATAATTTCTGTTAGGAAGAGCAATATAATAAGTAATTTAAAAGAATAAGTTTATGCGTTGGATAGAATGTGTTTAGCTCTCAACTCTGTCATTATTTGAATTATAGTAGAAAAGTTAATAAACACCTTAAACTTCAATTTTATCATCTGCTTACAGGACATCATCATCATCATCCTGTCAGAAGTTGTTCCAATTATCAAATAATAAAATATTTTTCAAGGCCTTAGCTCATATTCTAGCACAATGTAAACATTTAATAAATTATCATAGGTAAAGAAATGGAGGCCCAGAAAATATAACTAATTTTACTCATAATCACAAATTTAGTACATTATGAAAAGAACACTGAGTTTTGAAACCCTAGCTATAAAACTTAAGCCAAGTATATTCAACTTATGATACCATTAATCTATTCTCTTGAATATACTTATTGGGAGTAAAAGATGATTAGAATTAATACTTATGATACCATTAATCTATTCTCTTGAATATACTTAT